TAGCTTCATGTGTATGGCAGTTGAGTAAATGCACAGTTGAGGTAGGCAGTGGGTTTAGCCTTTATATGAGCCAGGGCACTGGCTCCGAACAGCTGCTTCTGTTGGATTGGAAATGTTTTCCTTTGTTTTCAAATAATTCCTTTGGAAAATAATTACAGCAGCAAATAATGAGCTAAAGCTTTCTCTGTGCCAAGGCTCCTGCTGCTTGAAGGCAAGTAATCATAAGCTGGTCATGGTTTTGTGTCAAGGTTGTCAGATCTTTGGCCCAGGAGTCTCACTGGATGCAGCCAAACTGTCCCTCTGGCTCTGCAAACCCCTTTATCATCAAATCAGCCACCTCCGGTTTTTCAAAACAGGCACATTAATGTAAATGGATGAAAATTGTTTCTCCCCCCTCTTTCTCTGTTCCCTATTGCCTCCCCCAGGCTCTGATATGCGAGCCCCAGTTTTTCATTTTTCTGGTTCGTTTTTACAGCTGGCATCTTCCCACCACTGTTTTCAGTGAGTATAGCAATCGCCAGCAACTCCATCTACACATTCTCAAGCGATGGTTATTTTTGGCACAAGTGTGTCTCAGGAATGTGTATTTGCATTCCTACGAGGAAGGCATAAATAGACACCTCCCACTCACCCCCACCCCCCAACTAATGATGCCTTCTCAGAAGGATACAGTTTTAGAAAAGAGTTCAGTTAGGTGATTAGATGCTATTGTGTAAGCAAGGCATGCTTATCCTTCGCCTGTTCAGGAATGTCTTTGTGATCAGTATGTTTTAAAAGAGGTTAATATATTCCTCTTTCGGAATGTCTACTAGTCATTGAATCAGATTAGAAGTGATACTTTTCGTACCGGTAGTGATGCTTTGTTATTGTTTTTTTCCTTACAGAATTAAACACTATGCATGCCCTGATATGGACTGGCACATTAAAAGGGAGGAAAGGAATTGCAGCTTCTGGCCTCTGTGCCCGCAACACAAACTACTTCTCTCTGCATTGGGAGGAAGTTCTGGATCATAGGAAGCTGCTTCCCATGCACTATGTTGATTGCTTATTTTTTATTGTATTTTTATTAAGATGTATTAAAGTAAAAAGATAAAAACTAATACAAACTAAAAAAAAATGAAAGAAAAAATAGGGAAGGAAGAAAAAAATTAAGACAATAGTAAAGAAGAAGAAAAGAACTATATAAAGAAACGACTTCTGCCTTCATATAATATAAACTCTTTTAATAGCTTATCCCCTACTTTTAAAATATAACAAATGATCTCTTTCCCCCATATCCATATAATAATAATAATAATAATAATAATAATAATAATAATAATAATAATAATAATAATAATAATAAGAAGAAGAAGAAGAAGAAGAAGAAGAAGAAGAAGAAGAAGAAGAAGTTGGAAGGGACCTTTGAGCTCATCTAGTCCAACCCCCTGCTCAGGCAGGAAACCCTATACCATTTTGGACAAATGGCTGTCCAGTCTCTTCTTAAAAACTTCCAGTGTTGGAGCATTCACCGCTTCTGGAGGCAGGTTGTTCCACTGCTTAATTGTTCTAACTATCAGGAAATTTCTCCTTAGTTCTAGGTTGCTTCTCTCCTTGATTAGTTTCCATCCGTTGCTTCTTGTCCTGCCTTCAGGCACTTTGGAAAATAGCTTGACTCCCTCTTCTTTGTGGCAGCCCCTGAGATTATTTAGAAACAAATCCTTATTTAGAAACAAATCGTTAAAGCCTCATTGTTCGGTTCTGGTCAGCAAAAGTTCCTTAGGGTTATCAGAGGTATCAATCTACCTATTTTAACCTTGATCAAATAACCCAACTTCATACTCCTTCCTTTTAACAATCTTGATCTTCAATCTCTTCAAATAATGTCCTAGAATTGGTTTTCATTTTTTCATTGTCCCTTCTCAAACAATTCTTAAAAGCTTTAACAAATGTCTTTTGTAAATCCAACTTAAGAAAGTTATCCAGGTGACTCTTTTGGTTGGTTATTTGTATATCCTTTTTAATTATTAAGTCCCTAGCTGTTTTGTTTTGTATGTCCAATGTAGCATCCAGTGTAGTATCATTCTTGAAGCCTGTCATATTAAAATCCATTTTCAGATCAATCTCAGTTTTTCTGGTAAAACCTATTCCACTTCCATAATATATTTTAAACACAGTCTATGTATAGAGGCAGATGCTCTTAAAATTAATTTCTGGATCCATTGTTCAAAAATGTCCAATGTTAAAATATTTTCCTTCATTCTGTATTTATGTCAAATTTAAGTGTCCTCTTCCTTTAACTAGTTTCCCCCCTTCTCCTCCTTCCTTAGGGTTTTCTTTAATTTTTATTCTGTCTTTTTTTTCATATAGAATCCAAGGTGGTGAACATACGTAATATTCCTTCCCCTTCCTATTTTCCACACAACCACCACCCTGTGAGTTGAGTTCTATTGAGATTGACTTCATTCCACTACGGTTGTTCGCTCTGCTTCACATAACCATTTCTTCACCAGTAGTAGTTTGGCTGTGCATTAAGCTGATGGCTTCCAAAGCTAAACCTGCTCTGTCATAGGACTTTTCCCATGGAGTTTCGTTCATGTTTCTAAAGGAAGGCATGTTTTATGAAATGGGTTGAAGGAAAGCAAACTGAAATGGGCCCAGAGTTGCATGCATATCTAACAACCCTGATGCAATAACCAAGAACAGGATATGGCATAAGTTTGTAGACTTGCACAAGAAACAGGGCACTCACTCGTTGTACCGTAGCTCTTTGCAGGCATTACTCAAACCTTCTATAATACAAGGATGAATTGGAATTTATCCTGTGAGCTGGGGGGGAGGGGTCAACACATAGGAACCGAACAGCAGAGATTGTAGTTATCTAGAACCCAAGACTCATAGAGCTTTATGCAGTGTTCCCTTGTCTTCTAGAGATGTCCATGTTTAGAGAGATAGCACTTGTAGACAGATACCATGTGTAAAATCATGAGGTGGGAGCTGTTCTGCCTCTGTTTGCACATCCTATGATGCGTTTTAGGTAGTGCATTCTGGTAGCTCCAGAATGAGCCGGAAACAGGGAAGGTTATTAGGACTATGAGTTCTAATGAGTCAGAGAGTTGTGCTTAAACCTCACCTCACTGGAACTTCATGGTCCAACCATTTTTATGGGTTAACCTATCTCACATCTGGGAAGAAACTCTTCTGTACATCAGCATGTGTGTCAAGGAAAAAAGGGTAAAATGAAGCACTAAAACTGCTATTCAACAGGGAGAAGAACTCGTCTCAAGCCACATTAGAGGTCTTCAGACAGCAAAATAACTCACCTCTCCCTAATATGCTGATAATATGCCCTCTTTTTTCTATCTAGTAGCCCGGGGTGCAGCTTTTTTTTTTTTTTTTGCTTCCTTAGAATGCAAATTAAAGTTTTTTCCCCCCAGGTGTGAATTGGTCTGGAATCAAATATTAATCTCTTGATTTACCTGTATTTTGCTGTATTTATGAAGTACCGGAACATTGTCTTACTTTCCATACAATTAGAGGCAGTTAGTGTAGGTTCTAGAAGATTACATTATTTTGCCCTTGGCAAGAAATCATGATGAACATGCACTTGTTCTTGAAAACTTTCCTTATGCTGTACGCCAGTTACATACATCCAGTGTTGCATTAGTTTCATTGGGTCTATGCAATCATCCACAACTATTAGCTTCAACATTTATTGAAATGACACTGCAGGAGCAATGATATCACTTGCTCTTTTACTTCAGGCTAGTTTGCACAACCTTTGAACTAATAAAGGGAACAAAATCAAACTGCATATATAGCACTACTCTAAACATCAGTCACAGCTAGTTAACGCAATAGAATTCTGATCCTGTTTATTGCTGAGGCTAGGTCAGTGGCGGCGAACCTTTTAGAGACTGAGTGCCCAAACTGCAACCCAAAACCCACTTATGCATCGCCGGGTGGCAGGTGGGCATGGCCACCAAGTGGGCGTGGCCACCGAGCTGTCACTCGTGCTCACTTACTCGCTCGCTGTCCGCTCCGACTCGTGCCTGCTCTCTCACTGTCTGCAGCAAATGCTGCTTCTGCCGAAAGTTGCTCCTTTTATAGCCTCTTGCCTATTCCCAGACTGTGCATGTGCAGAGAGCTGCACATGCGCAGAGAGGAGGAGGGAACAGCTCGGCCCAGCAATGGTTCGTGTGCCACCAGAGACGGCTCCGCGTGCCGCCTGTGGCACGCTTGCCATAGGTTTGCCACCACGGGGCTAGGTAGTCAGGGAGAATCTGAAAAGTCGGTCTTAATCAGTCATTGTGTGGCAGAGAGCCTGCGTGCAGGGAGAAGGAAAGACTCATAGGTCCTTCTGTTAAGTGAGAATTGCTCAGTGGGTTTATCTCATTACCTCCCTTGGAGATAATGTTTTCAAAGCTGAGAATGATTTTTCATTTCTAAAAAAAATAAAAAATAAGCATTCTGAATTCTAACGTAAATGGAAAGTGCAAATGAAAACATTAAGTTATAAGAAAGATGTGATAGCTCAGCTTCAAAAGAAATAAGGGAAGGATGGTAGTTAAACCATGCTTAGAAACTGGTCAGAATACAAAGCAAAACAAAGCAAAGCAAAGCAAAGCAAAGCAAAGCAAAACAATCTCTTTGTTCTTATTCACAAATGAATTGTGGAGGATTTGAACTTAGAGCAATATGAATTTTGAATAGCCTCCATGCTCCTAGTCCTTTATTATTATTATTATTATTATTATTATTTAGATCTAACAGTGATAATAGAATTGACACTACAGTTGGGATAGTTTTTGCATCTGAAGAACACTGCAGGCTCATGTACCATGAGGTTTACTTCTGAGCCAGGTAAAACAAGAACTTCCCATGATGTTGGTGAGATCTTGTAATCATCAGTGAGATGATAAGAGTCCTAAAGAAGCTGAGCCAATTGGTAAAATGGTAACATTTTAAAAGGTGTTAGCAGATTGGACCTAGAACCTATCTCCCATCTGGTTGCTGATCCTTTTTCTTTCTTACAATGAATAATAGTGCATGTCCAAAACATAGCCCATTAAATAAGGTTAAACGTCTCAGTTCTCAGAGGTGCTATTATAATTCTTTTTTGTAGGAAAGGTCAGGTGACCAGCTTGGCTAGAAAGGTCCAGTGGTGAGGTCTTGTGCTGTGGCATTCTCTTCTGATGAACTGAACTAGAGACAATGCGATGGGAATACAAAGCTGACATTTCAGGGCTCTTGATGTTCGATTCTGGCTGTATTGCTTCTGTAATCATTCCTTGTTCGGGTTTGCCATTGGAGAGGTTCACTGAAGATACAGAATTATGTCTCTTGGACGGTGGTGGGCTGTAGTTTTGAAATCGCACTGTTTTCACTTGCTGAAAATAGAATAAAGAAATCTGGAGTTAATTTACTCCCAGAAGGCTTGCAGAAACATTGCTGTGCCACTGTATAAAACATACCCCAAACAGGCAAACTAAATTCTGTTTTACAATTTCCCCAGCAAAATGGAAAAAGACAAGTTACCTTACCTCTCTCATAAAATATCATCGTGTGTAATACTTTGAGCATATTGGACAGAATTTTGGAAAGGTGAGTTAATGGTTGTATCTACAGAACTAGCTTTGTTTTGGAATGTTTTTGTAAAGGAGCAACATTTCTGAGACATACATTATGTGAGTCTTCCACACAACTATCGAGCCATTTACAGCTGAATTATAACGAGAGAGATCAGTAGCTGAGAGAAACTTTCTTTACATGGAATAGAAACTGTGCCGTGGATTGGGAAGTACAGATGACTAACTCTTAAGTAGATTTATGTAAGATCATTCTTTTGATTTAATATGGAAGTAAAATCAGTCTTGTTCTTATAAAGAACTTATAAATGTTCTTATAAAGAACACTGAAATATTATTTGCGAAGTTAACTGAATTTGAAATAATGTTATGTACATAATCACTGTTATAATACTAATTTAGTGATAACCACTTATAAATGATGTTTATTAACGCCAGTTAACTTCAGTCTTGAACATATTTAATGCCAAAGTATAATCTTCAGGAATAAGGACTATTTCATGTGTGTTAGGAGAACAGACTGTGTGGTGTACACTTGGTGCTGTTATTGAAAAAATAAGGTAGAGTGTCTATCTGATTGAGAACTGCTTTCTGGGAAATTATAAATGATGATGAATTTTTAATATGATAGAACAGGAGAAATCATTAGATACAAGGGAAACATGTTATTTATATTTAATTTAAATTTAGACTTTTTCCAGTAGGCCAAATGTGGCTTTTGGTCTGAAAACTTTAATGCATATCACTAAATTCTCACAGAATTGCCAAGAGTTTTTATTATCTTAACACTTAACAACTATAACTCTGTCACTGGAGGAATAGACCCTATTATTACCTTCTCAGTGGTGTTTTTGAAGGTGTCTGGTTTCACCAGAATAGAAGGTGGAGCAGATGCAGGTGGTTTCACAGCTAGTTCATTCTTTGGTACTTCACTGGTATCCAAAATGACCGAGCCACATACAGAAGGAGCTCTGCTGCTTCCGCTTCGGGGCAATAGCACTAAGGAAGAATTATGAGAGGCACTCAGTTTGATTCCTGTATCAGCTATGCCAACTCCTCGGGGCAAAGAGGAAATAGATTGATATATTGGTGTTTGTTGAGATCGTGCTGGAGTTGGAGGATGTCGCTGAAGAGAGCTGGTTAAAGGAATAAGGGCTCCTGGTTGCAAAGGTTTCTGTAAAGATCCACCTAGAAGACAAACAATTAAAGAGAGGAGGGTTAAGATAACAATAACAACAATCCACCTTGTTGAGAATTCATATTATGAGAATTCATATTAAAAAGGGTGGGAGAAATCCATTGAATTGCAGGGTTTAACTGAATTCTAGAGTTTGGGTGGATCACACTATGTGACATGCTACTAGAAAGTGAAGAGCTGTTAGGAAATTACAAGGGTGAGCTAACACTGTAGCAGAGTACATGGTTTACATGAAGTATGTTCTAAGCTCATTTTCTCCTGAACTAATGAACCCCAGGAGGCAGATTAATCTGTGCTCCTCCAGTTCCATTGGCTACTAGGAAAATGATATGACTCACAGGTTCAACTCATTTTTCCTTTTGCCCTTTATGCTTAGTGTTCAGTAATCTAGACCAGGGGTCCCCAACCCCTGGTCTGTGGCTCAGTTCCAGTCCACAGCTCAATGGGAACCAGAATGTGCAAGTGGCACACGAGCACAAATGTGTGAAGCTGCATTTGTGCAAACGGCACAGGTGCACACAAAACTACCCCTCTCCTCCCCCGCTGCTGCCAGTGCTGCCAGTCCACAGAACTGGAAAGGTTGGGGACCGCTGGTTTAGATTTTACATGAAAAATATTTACTGGGACCCCTGTCAGAGGGGACAGCACTGGACTAAGATGAACAACAGTCTGACAGAGAGGAAGACATGCCTGTATATTACTCTCTTCTTTTTAAATACCTACTCAAACTCAAGCTTTGGCAGAAATTTTGTTTAAAGTTTGAATTGAAATAAATACTCAGCATGTGCCTTGGAGCTTGCATATATTCACCCAATTAAAGTTGTATTTGTCTTTCTTTTCTCACTAAGGATTTTTTTTTTTAATGATTGAAGCACAGACATGTTTTTCTAACTATGTACTTTGTAAATGGGACCATGGAATTTGCTTCACTTCATTGCTCACTTCATTTCTTTTATTTGCAGAAACCACATTGGTATCATCACTCATAGTTTTTGTCACTAGCCTTTTTTTTCTTTTTGCATTGTCATTTGCCTTGCTTTGCACTGGCTGCAGCAGATTGATTAAATAAAACAGCTATTGGGAACAATTAAGTGTCACCTGTACTATGCTGCTCTGTGGCAGAATATAGAAAAATTGTGACCTACTCATAGGTTCCAACCTTGATGTTTCCTTGTGACTTTCCCAATTTTTCCTTAGAATGCCCAAATGAATGACAAATGCCCAAAGTATTAGGAATAAAGAAGGCAGAAGAGAGTATTTACTGCTCAGATGCCAACAAAGGCCCCTGAATAGCCCACCAATTCCCAAATAGAAACAAGTGTATAGAGAGAAGTTTTTAATAAGAGTCTCATTCACACCCTTTGTGCATTTAATTTGGAACGAATGAAGACTGAACCGAATGGATTCTGCTAAGCATTTCGTTTGCTCTAAAACAAATGTGTATAATGGTCTATAAACTACCATGTTCAATTATGATGCCTAATAATGGTTACTGTTTTCCTCTGAGCTCATTTTTGTGCCTAGCAGAATGTTTTCTGCCAATATAATTCTATAGTAATTCTACACAAATATTGTTTCAGACTGAACACTGACCTCATTCAGTTTCCGAGAATTATATAGTATCAGATTTTTAAAGTTGCTGCCAACACTTCTTATTTTATCCTTTCAGTCTCTAAACAAAGACCCTGAGCATAGCAGGGAGAGGTAGAATTTTAACTTGATTTCTCCCCTCATAAAAATTTATCTGCCACAGAGTGTCTAAACATTTGATCCTCCTACACTTTTTAGATCTTCCAGGCACTGTATAAATACATCCTTGCCTTTGGTAGGGCTGAGGTCTGATCCAGCTTATTATGTTTACTACATCCATCCCGAGTTTTAGTGTATAATTAAAGATTTCTAGTCATATCTCTGGCCTTTGGGGAACAGGCCCACTTGTTTGTTTCTCATGCTAGGACTTACTCTTCTTATTGCTACTCCGTCCTCTTCTCAGTGATGGTGTGTGCACTGAAGCGCTGGGCAAAGAGAGATTCCTCACAGGTGAAGTCAGAGATTTTAAAGGTCTGCTTTGCCCTGGACGGTGCCCTGAGATGCTTCCCTGGGATGAAAGTGAGGAAGTGGATAATGTCCAAGTTGCATAAAGGGAGGGCATCTTTGAATCCGAGAAGCTGGAGGATTTTCTGTTTGTTCGGGAGAGCAAAAGAAGAGGGAGAGAGGTGGTTTATTAGAAGCAGATATCTTTCAGGTCATTACATAATAAACATATGTTATAGTTCAGATTCAGGAATTTTATTTACTTTTTCATTAGAAAAGTAAAAACAAAATGCAGATAGTCCACTTCGGCAAACATTTGTACATTCTGAACCAAAATATCCTTGCAGATTATTTTAATCTTGCATTTAAATTTTTTTTAAAGATTTTTTTTCCACCCATTACTCTTCCAGACACTGAGAATTGTAATGTTAATGTTGCAGGTTCTGCATTTCTACAAAGCAAACTAAAACATGATGACTCATCTTCTAATGATATATATAGCTCATGCCTATTATAATTACTTCTACCCAGCTATGAATATTTGAAGTACTATGGTATGTGAAACATCTGACTCTCACAGAAAGTGAGCCATTTTGTTCTGACCTTACTAGTAATGTTTTGATTATTTTCTGAGGTATCTAATAAGATAAGGTTGGATCATCTGGAAGTTGAATCATGGCAACTATATGTCCTCCAGAGAGGTTTTATTTCTCACCTAATCTGGATAGGCTTACTGACCCACCTAAGGTAAAGGATTTAGGAGTTGGAACATTTATATACCAACATTTTTCTGCCTACTCACCTAACAAGCCCATCCAGATTAGGAGGACATCTATGGTTTCCTCTAACCAACTTGCTCAATCTGAAGAAGCTACTTGGATAAGCAGCAAAGTATTTTGAACCAACAAGAAGTTCAGTAGCTATGACTCAACTTCCAGACCACTCTACCTGGATGACTGAGAATCTTCATCAACATAAGATTAGATCACTTCTTAAGAGATCAAAGCAGCCTGCTTCAACTTTTCAAATTCAAAACATTTTGCACAAATCAAATCCAGAAATATACAGTTCCATTCAGGTCTATCCCCACAGGCAGTTACTACTTTGGTAAATATTAGCAGCATAAATCCTTTGGCAGGGTAAACACATTCATTGTATGGGAATGCTTGCATGCTTCTGTGACTGACGAGTCTGCTAATTTGAATTAATCATATTTTAAGGTGTTTTTATTTTTAGCTTTTGGCTTTAGTCTGCTATTGCTCTACTGCCTCATACAAATGTTTCTTCCTCTGTTTAGCCTATAAGCCAGCTGCAATTACTTGTACAATTTATTTTTCCCACTATGCGCTTATAAAATTAAGGGAAAGTCGTCCACTGGACTGGGTAGAAATGGGTAATGGGACTGGTATCTGTGGTTCTGCTTTATAAGGCTGCAGGTATTTAAATGTGGGACGGGAGATGGATAATGACTGTGGATAGACAATTTATGTAATGATTCAGAATTACCAAAATTGTCCATTATTCAAGTAAATCACTTGGAAATAAAAATCAGTGGCGGGAAAGCGTTGCAAAGATAACAAGTATGTGCAAATATATAGAGAGTTAATTTCATGTTTTCTAGTTTATATGGAGAAATGTGTATGGGAACAGAAGCAAAATTTATTCAGTCTCCCAGAAAATAATATAACAAGGAAAGCTGATAGATTTTTTTTCAGTAGACAAAAATAGGTTTCCAAAGTTCATGACCCTTCAGCTGCAGCAGTTACCTATAAGACAGAAGGACCAATTTGGTGATGGGGAGTGGTAAGCTGTGGAGGAAGAATGAGCTTGTGAAATCACCATGTCCAGAACTGTTCTTTGGCATAACTCACAATTTTCATGAGGACATTGTCCCTAAGGCAAAACCTCTAAGGACAAGGATGCTTCAAACATGCCAGAAACAAGAGACAAAGAGGCACAAACAGGATATTAGTCAGAATCTTTCCTGGTTGTAGGAATGGACCATCACTCACCCAAACAGACCGACTTTTTTTTTTAGTAGTAGTAGTAGGAACAATAAATGTTTCTAGAGGCCCACAAGCAGAACATATGCTAATAACTGAAAAGAAGATCCTTCTGGAGGAAGAACTATTTATATTCAAGGCAGTGGGTAGAACTGAAGAGCTGCTCAGGTAGCTAATTGTAAACAGTTATAGGAGATACTACCTGCTTATATCAGAACCTTTACCCAAGGCCTGAGGCAGTTTAATTATGCTTGAACACAGCTTGAATATAGAAATGGGTCTCCTATAAACAAGCTTCAGTCAATCTTCAGTTGTATATTATAAAAGTTATGACTAGCTTAATGCCATTTGGTATTTGATTCTTTAATGTAACCCCAATGGGAGCTTTGACAAAGTAGCTTTCAAGCTACATTAATTAAGCTTTGGTTTCAAGAAAAGAAAGCATTTCCTGAAAGGAGCATTCTTTATTATTAAAATTTTAAGGTGAAACCCCCCCCCAACAACCGACACTACTGTACCTCTGATGCCCAATTGGCAAAAAACAAACATTTGTATCTACTGCTTATACTTAAAAAAGCTTATTGATGAAGCACCGAGGAAGCAATGATCTTGAAAGACATAAATCCACCAATTATTCTGTTTCTTACTTGTAATTCTATTTTCCAACTGTGGGTCCACCCCTTTTTCCTTCCAAAATTATTGCAGTCCAATCTGATTGTTTCTTTGCTCATGTTTTTCCCCTGATGAGGCCAACAAGGTTACAGAGCTCTTAAATTTGTTAAATTGTTGAGACTGCCAGCAATTTCTGCATGAGCAGAGTTGCTTTAATAACCTAAGTGGTCCTGATTTGCTGTGAACTTAAACCAGCAGCATTTGTGCTTCTTCTCAGGGAGAAAAGAAAAAAAACATCACCTTGTAGTCCATTCTGATAACATTCCCGTGACTAGTTTTTGCTTTGAAAAAAATTATGGTTTAATCACGGGACAATGATTCATCACAATATTGAAGTTGTCAGTTTATTATGAATTTGTTTCAAAAGGATGATGCACAATATTAGTGTTCATAAGTAAAGTACTTTATAAAACTGCTTCCAATCTCCTGGGATCTGTGTTGGATTGTTCACTTTACTGGCCCCAAGGTGTGATTGGAGGCCATGTCATAATAAAATGTGCCTGAAAAATGAAGAATAGCTGGCTTTCTTCATTGGGAAGGAATTTAGCGTATATCAGCAAGCATAATTCTAGGCCCAAAGTGGCCTTGGTGTTTCCAGTTTAAATTGAGCAATTTAACATGATAAAACACACGGGAAGAAATGCGTAAAATAATAACATGGTTAGTTAGGTAGCTGTTTGAGCATTCCACATCTCAAACCACAGATTAAAACCTGTCATTTTTTTCACTGTTTACCCGCAGTTCATATGCTCAGGGATTACAATATTCAGTTATCCAAACATAACATAATAATCTCAAGAAACACCGTTTTGAAGAATAACACATTGTTCTCTCAGAATTAATATAGGGGCTTGAGAGATCCACTCAAACTCATTTGTTGTCTAGCTAATATGGTTGAGATGCGCCATGAACAAGTATATCCTTTCTCTTCTACTATTATCCATTCTGATTAAGGGGACTAGGCACTAAAGAAAGCCACATTTTATTTAAGGTCAGATTTTGTTTTCATTTAAGAAGGTGCTCTCAACCTGTACCTATTTCTAACTTTATTTTATTTTACAATGGTTCATTTGCATTTGTGTTTATAAATTTCATCTTGGCGGGGAAATAGATAAGTGATCTCTTATCATTAAGGAAAAGTTTATAAAAGAAGAGGGGAAGAGAAAGTTTGGAAATTGTTTTGGATAAAACATAAAATAATCAACTTTGGATGTCCGAGCTGAAATCCAGACATGCTTGAGATTAAGATCAAGAACCTCTAAACTGTGAGAATAGATTGCCTTGACCCTTCTCAGAATTGACTTTTATCCATAAACTGAACACACAGTTTACCAAAATTGCTGGGAAGGCCACTTATATTCCTTTGCAAATTATTGCTTTGATTTCTAAAAGAATGACAGAAGAAAAATATTCCCAAATTCAGATCTGGACTCATACATTTTGCTCAGCTATTTTGCTTTTCCCACTAAATCTAAAAGAAAACATCAAAAACTTTGCTGAAGCATTTATGGGAAGATGAACTCAGTTTTACTCATCCCTAAATAGCTGAGTACATTATATTTTACTTTTCAGTTAATGGTGATTACTGGCAGATTATCTTACTTTTCAGTTAATGATGATTAAGAGGACACTTTTCAAGAACAGGCTGAGACTGGGAAGCAATTCATCGAATGAGTAAACTGAAAATTCAGGAGTGGTATACAGTAATTGGAGAATGCAAGGATTTTCCTTCCAATGCTGTTTTGCAATTATTTTCTTCATTAAAATAAACCTTTCCAACCTTTGATGTTCCTGCATCAAGGTTTCTTCTACCTGTCTGTGAAGATTCTCAGTCATCCAGGTCATGGTTGTTCAAAGGTGCTTTTTCAGGAGACAACTGGACTTTCTTGTTTTTCTTTGAAGATGTTTTGCTTCTCATCCAAGAAGCTTCTTCAGCTCTGACTGGATGGTGGGGAATGGAAGGATTTATATTCCTTGCAGACAGCTGGTCATTTACATTCTTTTAGAGAGTCATTGGGGCCATTTGGAGGTCCAGTTGTCTTCTGAAAAAGCACCTTTGGGTTTCTTCTACATATTTCTTTACCACATTATTTTATTTTTATTGATTCAATTTTTATGGCCACTTATTTCAACCAAGTGATTCTTGTTTGCTTCAGTAACTCACTTTTTACTGAATAGTCAGGCCTGCTAAGCATTCTGAGATTAACCATTTCTATTTCCAGGAGAAAGAGAGTCTATTTTGAGCTGATTTCATATGAAAACAGAATATATTTAGGGCATTAGAGAATTTATCTCCACAGGTCTTCAGCTGCAGCTTCAGCTTTAGCTCTATTTATATATAAATAGAGCTTTGTTAGTTTTACAATCATAAGTGCTTAATAAACAATGTGTTGTCTTGAGTCCATTAGTAATTCAGTGGTACATATTAACTTCTTCAGTCTAGGCCAACATATAATGCTTTAGCTTTATACAGGATCTCAGGCATATTGTCACCTATACATCCATATCTAACTTAAATATATGCAACAAGAAACTACAACAACTCAAGAGTTAATTTTTCAGAACTGCCAAAGATGAGAGAAATCTCTAAATTATAAAACTATTGTAAGAATAGTTTTCTCTGGTGAAATAAAACTGTGTAGAAAATACATTTTTATTGTCTCAATAGTCTGACTAAAGGGTGGGGAACATGCAGTTTTGTAGATGTTTTATTATTCCTACTTAGCCTCACCACTAGGCTCTGTAGAGTAGCCTAAAAGATAAGAGCCTCTGTGTTCATTAAGTTTGCTTTGATTTTTCTTTCAGCTAATTCAAGGAGAAGGAATCTGGTGCTTTTGTTGTTGAGTTGAGATATTGATTCCCACTCCCTGTAAAACTAGAAGGGGTGAGACAAAATTGGTGTGCTTTAGTTTATGCTCCACCCTCGTGGAATAACCTGCTCCCAGAGATCTTAATAGCCCTGTCCCTGATGAAACTCAGAAAGGCAATCTTTCCTGCAAAGCTTTTAATTATTGTTAAGTATTTATGATTTCCGGAACTAAGCATGACTGCATCATATGGACATTAACACGCTTATGTAGTTATATTTGAACTTAATTATTTAGTGATTTTTATGTTCAATTTTGTAAGCAACTGAGAGTCCTTAGAGAGCAAGCAATATAGGGTATAAAATACTGTAAGTAAATAACTGAGTAAGGAAGGAAATAAAAAGTTTAGATGCATATACTAGATGGGACTCAGACTCAATTTAATTGAGAAACCATTTTTTACAGCCAGATTCTATACCTCTCAGAAGGCTATGACATGAAAGCAACATAATTCCCATATGGTTCATCCATCTTGATCTGATATATTTTATTTATTTATTGTTGAATTTATACCTCGACTTTTTGCTTATTTCAGCATTCACAGTAGCTTACAATACAGAATACAGAAATAAGTTATCTCTGAACATGAAAGCTCTTATGTAAGCAAAATAACTAACCGGACTTGATAGACCAGTTTTTGTAACTAACTCTTAATACTTTGGATATTGTAAACAAGGCTTGGACATAAACAAGTTGCTTCTCCTCTCTCCCTTCCTGTTTCTTTTATTTCTTTTCCATTTTTATCACCTTTCTGATATTCCTTACCCTCACTGCTTTCTACTGGAGATTCTAGGGGACAGGATTTTGAAAAAAATCATAGGATAGTTAGTTAGAGATGATAGTTAGAGAAGATAGTCATGGTGTAGTTTTCATGGGGAAAAGTGGTGTGTTCATTTCCATAAATATAATAGTTCTTACTGAGTGTTCTGGTTATTTAGCTTAGATGTCCCTGAATGGCTTAAACAATAAATATGCTTCATTTTAAAAATATGTGTTTCAAAAGTGTAAGTAATGGCCAGGTTAACCAAGCCTTTGTGGGAGTTTCTACAGGTATTGTGAAAACTTGCAGTCATATAAAAGGTAATAGTAATTTACTATTTCACCTTTTGGACGGAAATAATTGTAATGCCACTTCTATCCCTAGGATTGCCCTGAGTTCTGTCCTGAGCATTGCTCAACCATGACAGTAGTTCATGCATTTAAGAAAATGCACTATAATCTACTCCAGTTTGTGGCGTAAGAAATTTGTTAATTTTTAAGGTATCTTAAAAGCTTTTGTTAAAAAGTTTTCCTAATGTTTATTTAATCACCCACAAAAAAACACTGCATAACAAATGCTGTAAAAAGGTTCACTGGCTGTGGATGCCTGCTCCTGGATCAGTTCCTCACTGTGGTATCCTGAGACCTCAATGCTTGTTTATTTGCATGCACACAAACAAAAACAAATTAGTCCTTCTGTGTGGCCTTGTGTTGATCTACTACAACATTTTGTAGCAAATATATTGTTTCAATTAGTAAATGCATAGCTTCGATGTAATTATCCCTTTGAACAAGTAATTATATGTATAGTACCAATGATAAGCTATTCATTAAAAAATAAAATAAAAGAGAATCCAGGATAGCAAAAAGACCAAGCTTTAGGGTGGTATTTCAGTATCATACAAACAACTGGCCTGTGACTGTTTTATACAAATTCTTTATAGAAATGTATGCATCTGGCCAACATATACAAGTACATTTTTAGGTACTGTAGTTCAACGTTTATGTTACAGGAAAGGGAAAACACATATTATGACTAGGAGTTACAATATATAACTATTTTCCAGAGCCAGGAAAAAAAAAGGAGGGGGACTTAGAAGTCAAAGCTGATTTTTTGTTTCTTTTTGACCAAAATAGTTCTAGGCAGATGCATTAAGGTTACACGCCACCAAGAGCTAAATTTTTGTAGGCAGCACTATCACCCAATCTTATTTGTTCATCTTAAACCAATTCAAGCCCCATAGTGGCATTTTTTTTCCCTGCTATGGAAGAATCCCTCTCCAGATATTTCTGCTCCTTTCAACTACATCTCTCAATCTATAAATAGCATAGGTCAAACCTGAAAAATGGAGCAACATAATTGCTGGGGAAGATTCCGACTTTTCCTGTGATCAGTGACATTCCTTTTAGCCAACCTTCACGGTATTTCCCCAAAACACGAACGCCTTCTCCTTTTTGCAGGCTGAGTTCCTCCGGACTGTGAGCTGTATAGGAGTGCAAAGCGACGGACCTATTGAAACGCAAGAAATGAAAGTAAAGCAGCAGGCACTGGTTAAAAAAAAAAATAGTTTCATTTATGCAACATAATGAGGCTATGACACAACACTCTGCTTTCAGGCCACACAAGGAGCGGTTGTTGTGCCTTGTGCTAAACCAGAGCAGTGCATCTGAAGCTTCTTTATGTAACACTTCTGTTACACCATCTGGAATGCTCTGGTGAATATTGTATCAGATTTAAGAACAGACAACTTTTCAAGAATGCCTAATGGATCCCTTAGCAATATGTAGGGCACTTCTAAGTGTGTTGGTGTAATCAGCATAATGTATTCAATTCAAGATTAAGCTTTGGGCTAGGATCCCAGGTTGGAAAAACACAGACTGGAACAAAAGGAGTTAAACACCCATACACTTGCAGACAAAAAATATCATCTTCCTTTGAACACAGAATAATTGCACTGTTTATTAGCATCAGGAAATTACACATTAAGATTCAGCATCAGCTCTTTTGGGGTTTAGATCTGTCATCCAAATCCAAGTATTTCTTTGACACATGACATTGCAGTAATTAGCTGCACCAGCAAACAGATAATTTTGTGGATCCTGTAGCTTAAAAGGCGTAATATTCACATGCTATTCTTAATAATTCTTCCTTTAAATTAAAAAGTTCTGTCTCTTCTGACAGTGAGCTTTATTTTTCATGTCAGGTGCTTGGAAGCTAATTTAACACATAAAGGTAGAGTAATTCTAGAATGATGTTTATCTCAGTTTTAACCAAATACTAGCAGAGCATACTTATGGGAAAGGAGTTCACGGGTTTATTTTTTTTTAAATTCTTTCTGATTATTGTCATTCTAGGGCATTTTGGCCCAACCTTCATTCCAGACCATGTGCTGTAGTTGCTAGGCAATAGCATCTTCTGGCCCCACAAAAAACGTTATCCTTAAGAAATTAATGAGGATTATATGTACGTACATATTCAAAGACAGATGTTGCTGTAAGTGGGGAAGACTGACAATGGCTGTAGAATGCCCCATGGATTCAGGTTCCACGTAACAGGAAGGGCTGACCTGGAAAAGAAGAAATAATATTCAAAGGAAAGCCCTTTTAGTTTTCTTCCACAGGATGTTATGAAAGTAAAACCAAATGTCCTTCAAAGGGCTGGCAGAATTGATTCACCCTAGTGGAAGCTATAGTCAGATGTCTCCAAGAAACTTTAAACATTTGATCACCTCTGCAGATTGGAACTGAAGCAGAATAAGCAGGCCACCCCAAAGATGCATCTCTCTGCAAGACTTCAGATATAGTATCCTTCCAGGTTCCTATCTTTCATCTACTCTGCTCAGTATACAGAAAGCTACTGGAGATGATGTGGTTATTAAGCACATCAGTGACTCCGATATATTGAATAAACCTTTGTGTATCGAATAAACAGCACTTGCTTACAACTGGACTCTATATTTTAGTTCTATTCTTTTATAGATATTTATTTAATATATGTGGGCAACTCCTGGATTATCTGCGATGGTCCCCAAGGCCATACCTCAGAACCTCCAAGGACTTCTGGAACTTTCTGGGTCATACTTCTTAGCCCCCCCATTTTAAAGTTTTTTTTTTTTTAAAAAAGGTGCCAAAGAGGCATCCTAAGATATCTTAAGACATCTTCAAGTGACAAAGGTGGAGAAACACTGGGCTAATTATTTAACTTTGCTTTTTAATAATACTCATACTAATACTAATACTAATACTAATACTAATACTAATACTAATACTAATACTAATACTAATACTAATACTAATACTAATACTAATAATAATTCTTTGTGTAATGGCACACACTGCTTTGATTGTTTTATATAAAATTATTAAGGTTTTAAATAAAAAAAACTCACAGAAAATCAGTAGTCAAGAGAGGGAATAGAAAATGGACAGAACTGGCAGATATATAATAAAATAAAAAAAAAATATTGAAACAAAAATACAAACATAAGAATGGCTTCTGATTCCTGACTTCTTTTAAAACAGATATAAGTAAAACTTGAGTTCAGCTCTTGCTCTACAATTACAATATAACCTCCATTTTTTATAATCTATAAATATTACTTATATTCAAATCCATATGTCATGATTTTGTTTTTTTCTGATTCATGCAAAAAAATCCAACTGTATTGAATTTAGCCAATGTCTTTCAGAGCCATCAGTTTCACCATCCCAGCTAGCTCCATCAAAGACAGACAGAAGATAGAATAACAGCTTTATTCTTCCATTGTAATTTTCATCTGATATACAGTAGAAGTCTTGCTGCCATTATCATTTTTAAGATTTTTAAGAACAAAATACCATGCAATTTTCCAAACTTTTGCCCTAACAAAAATAGAAGCAGCTACATATAAATATATATCGTCATCAGTTTCTGTGATTTTACTTTAGATAAATGCAACAACTGTGATTTGCAAACCCAGCATGCTGAACAAACCCATCTGAGCTGATATTCTTTGGCTAAGCAAGTTGTGTGAACTTAACCAGGTCTGGTATATTCAATAAACCATGGTTAGATAATTGTGATGAATAATTGAATCACTGCAGTTTGCAAACCAGGTGAAAACACTGTATTATAATTTGCAAGCTCATAAGAGCAGAGAGCTCTGCTTGTAAATGCTATAACAGGCAATCATATTGATAGACAGTAAGCTTAGTTTGAGAGTCAATTTTACACTCAAAACAATTAAGACACCACTTTAGAAATCGGGAGCTCATGAACTTTAGTCCTGCCTTAGACGTGAAAGCTGGCTGGGTAAGTATGACCGATCACTCCCTTTCAACCCTAGGAAGCAGGCAATGGCAAAGCACTTCTGAAAAACCTTTCCAAAAAAACTGCAGGGACTTGTCCAGGCAGTCTCCAAGAATTGGACACAAATGAACAGAAGAAAAAAAGAGAGAGTTTAGTTTACAGCAAAAATTGTTGTTGTTAGATGCAAAGTTATGTCCGGCCCATTGCGACCCCATGGACAACGTTCATCCAGGCCTTCCTGTCCTCTATCATCTTCTGGAGTCCATTTAAGCTCATGCCTACTGCTTCAGTGACTCCATCCAGCCACCTCATTCTCTGTCATCCCCTTCTTCTATTGCCCTCCATCTTTCCCAGCATTAGGCTCTTCTCCAGTGAGTCCTTCCTTCTCATTAGGTGGCCCAAGTACTTGAGTTTCAACTTCAGGATCTGGCCTTCTAAAGAGCAGTCAGGGTTGATCTCCTCTAGGATTGACCGGTTTGATCGCCTTGCAGCCCAGGGGACTCGCAGGAGTCTTCTCCAGCACCATAGTTCAATTGGACTTCAGTTATTATTGACACTATGAATGTGGGCTGCCCAGCATATGTTATGTTATAAAATCTGCTCAAAAGATGATTTCATGACTCTAGGATGATTTTCAATATTGTAGTGAATTTCTGGAATTCTAGAAGGAAATTTACATAGTTGTTTTCAGCAAATCAACTGTGACTGGAGCATCTACTTATTCATCTTGGTAAGTATGACATTATTTAGACAGGGCAGAAAAGTTATATATGAATGAATTTGTTAAACAGGATTTCTACAAATACTTGTCAGGATAGAACTTTTTGTGGGTTTCTGTTACTGGATAGTTTGCCTGACTTTGAAAACGAATGGGTCTTGCAGTATATTTGGATAGCTTTCTGAATATTCATTGTATTTTTGGGGTTGTCATAGACACATTGGAATTCTCTTTCTCTTGTATAGTGGAAAATTTGGTCTTATGTCATGGATGCCTAATTATCTGCTGGGCATTATCTAAACTAAAGAAGTGAATTGAAAACTGTTCTTAAATTCAAAGTCTGACTCAAATATTATTGTCTCCAGTGTCAGAAAAATTCATCTGTATCTTTCCTGTTATTAGTCACTAAAAATGCAACTAAATCATTTTTTATTTTGTTTTTCCTAGACAACCTAATCATCTGCCTGAAAAAAACCCCACCTCTCCCTGATGCGGCTGTTTGGTTTCCCTTTCTGTAAATTGGCACTTGCTTCTGCAGGCAACCACTATGTAGCCTTTGCTATTATTCTGGCTGCTTCCGGAAAGCACATTTTGCTGTTGGCCATCATACTGAATCCAGCATCTATATATGCACATGAACAGATGGAAAAATGCTGGCACATTATATACTGGCACCATGAAATACTAGCCATATGAACAAAGCATGCAGCATGAGACGGGGAGGGTTTTGGCAGCACTCCTGACTATTTGGGTTTAATAGCTAATGTTAAATATAAGAATCCTGAATTATTAGCTGTTGAATTTAGTTCCCCATGAATTTAGTTAATCCCTTTAAACTTCAAGTCAACAGAGCGGCTATTCTGATTATGTGTTTTTGAATTTCTTTATTTTGTGTACTGTGCATAGTAAACCTATCACTAATTTCCCTACGGTTAAGGTAGCTCTCTGGTTCATTTTGCACTCAACATGGTGTTGCTATATGCATAGGACAAACGACAGCTTGGGACCATTCAACTGGGAAATTTTTTTTTTCTCTTTCCCAGGATATGCATAGTTCAATCTTCTCTTCCAATGTAATAGTATCAATCTGAATTAAATGCCCCTACTGTTTTTGTAGTTGTTTAACATGGATGAAATTGTACCCAATTTCATTTGTTTGTTTGCAGCTCCACTGGAAATGAAATGTGATGCCCCTTGTTATTAAAGAGTTCTTTTGATAAGAACCTTTAATTTCAAAATTGTTAAGATTTTTCTGAAAGCCTGCAAGCCAATCCTCCATGGCTTTAGCGCTTCCCCCAAAATAATTTTTCCTTTTTAAAAAAAATAAAAAATATCCCTATGTTCTCAACTGCTATATCCTCATACAAATAAAACAAGGATAACATTTTGAATGCTGTGTATTTTAATACAAATATAGGTGAAGGCTTTTCTGAATAGACGTCTGACATTTCAACAAATCTCTGCTACTTCTACTCTCCCTGAAATAAAATTTCATTTTGATATGGAGATACAGTTATTTATATCGGCACCATCAGTTTCTAGGACACATCAGAATAAAACATTCACAAAGCAGAGAGACCAAGGAGTTTACAATCCAAATTTCATTAACTCCTGCCTTTTCTTCTGTGCAAAATATTATAGAAAAGGGAAAGGAAAAGGTTTGGATTGTACAATTTGATTCTTTTAAATAATAACTGCAAAGTTATTCTTGGCTGGAAAAAAAAACCCTACCAGAATTCAGAGACTACTACTTTTTTAACAGGAAAATGAAAATATATTTGCAATGAGTCACAATTCTTCTGTCTTGCTGAGTGTTTACTAGCTGCCATGAACAAATGCCCCAATGTACTTGTCTGATATTGCAAAACCATTGATTGGGAGCCACCCAGAGCTGTATAAAAGGTAGGTAGGTAGGTAGGTAGATAGGTAGGTAGGTAGATAGATAGATAGATAGATAGATAGATAGATAGATAGATAGATAGATACTAAACTTTCACAATCTAGATCGGGGGTGTCAAGCTCACCATGTCACGTGACATGTCACGATGTATCGCGACTTTTTCCCATTTGCTGGAGCTGAGGTGGGCGTGGCTTCCGCATGACACATCTGGCCTGCGGGTAGGCAGTTTGACACCCCTGACCTAGATCATTCATAAATAGTTCTATTTCTGACTACAGTATAGGTTTATTCAATCATTTTTTAAAATCAATTAATCCAATGTGAGCTTGGCCCCAACCCTCCTATCTTTTCGCAAGGGCCTAAAGATGTGGCTGTGCCAGTCTGCTTGGGGCCCCAGTGGGGGCACAGTGCAATGGAGGTGGTTGACTGAGTAATAACAAATCCCACCTCCCCTCCACCCCGCCCTGCCTTCCCCACGTGTCCTTGGTTTTAATATTTGATTTTAACTTTTTATGTTTTAACTATATATGTAACTGTAAGCTACCCAGAATTACCCTATGGTAAGATGAGCAGCCAATAAATTAAAAAATAAAATAAATAATAAAATAAAATAAATTCTAAGTTGAAGTTATGAGGAAGAAGGAAAGCTAAGTATTTAAAT